ACCGCTCACCCGGCGGCTCCGCAGCGTCAGCCGGCACCGGCTCCGAGACGTTGAGCCCTGCGGGAGGAGGTTACATGTACAGGCGTGTAGGACCCCCCCCAACCACCACCGCTCACCCGGCGGCTCCGCAGCGTCAGCCGGCACCGGCTCCGAGACGTTGAGCCCTGCGGGAGGAGGTTACAGGCGGACAGGAGCAACAGGCAGCCGGGCCGGGGYGGGGGGCGCAACAGGCGGCCGGGCACAGGCGGTACCTTCCGGCCGGGGGTTTCGCAGCAGGTTCCTGTAGAAGGGGGAGCGCGGCGGGGGCGCCGCCATGGGTGACGCGCCCTGGCACGGTGTTGCCGCGCCGGGTGTTGCCGGGATGGGGTGTTGCCTGCCTGGACCTGCCACCTGCAACAGCCTGGGGCGGCCCCTGCAGCCCCCGCAACAGGGTGGAGCAACAGCCGCCTCCCGCCAACACCCGCACGGGGTCCGGCTGTCCCCTCCACCCCCCAATCATAACAAACAGGCGGCGCGGGTGGTTGCTGGGGTTTTTGGTTGTTTTTTCTTGTTTTTTTTTAATGTTTTTCTTCCAAAAACGAAACCTGTAGCTTCAACCGCAGCCAAACAGGGCCCCGCACGCCTGGGCCCCCCGCGGCCTTACAAAAAACGCCCCTATAAATAGTTCCCTTTGCTCGAAAAAGAGGGAAAAAAACAACAACCGCAAAGGAAACAACCCGACCCCCCCCGGTGGTGCCGGGGGCTGTAGTGTGGGGGGGACGCGGGCGGCTCCCGGCGGCCCCGGATCCCGAGGGATGCGGGAGCCGAGGGGGGGTCCCGCCGCGGAGCCCCCACCGCGTCCCGAGATGAGACAGAGAGGCGGATTCACCCCGCCCCCCTTCCCAAGAAATGGTGGGCGCCGGAACACCGGATCCGGTGGGAAGGAGGGCAAGGACTCCGGGGCTTCCCGGAGCCGGAGCTCGTTTTCCAGCGGGAATTCCCGGAACTCGTGAGAAAGGAGTCGTGGGGCTGGAAGACGCCGGAGCATTCCGACAACAGCAGTGTGGTGATGAATCCAGAGGCGGCAGAAAGGCGGAGCGGCGGCGGAACGCCGTCGGGAAGCGGGAATGCCGCGGGAAAAGGCATGGAGCCATCGGCACAGCCGGAGCGCCGCGAGAAAGCCGAGGTGCCCCGGAAAGGCTGGAGCACCGTGGGCAAAGGCGGGATGCAGCCAGAATGCCGGGAGTCGCCCCCAAAGCCCTCGGCCAACCCAGGACCCCGGCGGCACAACCGGCAGCCACCGGCAGAAAACTGGGAAAGCCGCCGGTACAGGCGGCTGCTGTGGGCGCGGAGGGCCGGGAAGCGCCTCCGGCTGCGTCCGGTGTTCCGGCATTCCGGCCTCACCGGAGCCGGTTCTGGCGCATGAGGGGCACGATGCAGGACGGCGGTCCCGCTTTGCCCAGGAACGGGTGTTTGAGGAGCTCGGTGGCGGCGGCGCGCTGTAGCGGGTCCCGCACCAGCATGCGGTCCAGGAAGCCCTTGAGGGAAGGCGACACCTGCAAGAGAGCGGCTGTGAGCGCCGCAACACTGCGACCAACAGCCGGCGCAGGGGGGAGTTGGGGTGTTCGTACCCGGTGCAGGTTCTTGAGCTTGGGCGGCAGGTTGTCCCGGATCATCTTCATGGCCTTCAGCGGCGGCTCGTTGAAGTACGGTGGTTCTCCGTCAACCATCTCGATGACCATCACCCCCAGCGACCAGATGTCCACCTGTCGGGGCGAAGGGGTGATGAGCGGGCGGCTGTGAAGCGCCACCTCCCGCCCCGGCTACAGTCGGCGGCCGAGGGTTGTCCGCGCGTGGCTGGGAGGTACCACCTCCCGCTCCGGCTACAGTCGGCGGCCGAGGGTTGTCAGTGCGTGGCTGGGAGGCGCCACCTCCCACCCTGGCTACAGTCGGCGGCCGAGGGCTGTTAGCGAGTGGCTGGGAGGTACCACCTCCTGCCCCGGCTACAGTCGGCGGCCGAGGGTTGTTAGCGAGTGGCTGGGAGGCGCCACCTCCCACCCTGGCTACAGTCGGCGGCCGAGGGCCGTTAGCGAGTGGCTGGGAGGCGCCACCTCCCACCCTGGCCACAGCTACAGTCGGCGGCCGAGGGCTGTCAGCGTGTGGCTGGGAGGTGCCACCTCCCACCCTGGCTACAGTCGGCGGCTGAGGGTTGTCAGCGCGTGGCTGGGAGGTACCACCTCCTGCCCCGGCTACAGTCGGCGGCCGAGGGTTGTCAGCACGTGGCTGGGAGGTACCACCTCCCACCCTGGCCACAGCTACAGTCGGCGGCCGAGGGCTGTCAGCGCGTGGCTGGGAGGTACCACCTCCCGCCC